CAACCATCAACATGCGCTTCTCCATCCTCGCCTTCATTGCCGGTGCCGCCGCCGCTCCCTTCGCTTCCACTGGAACAGAGCCCGTCTGCCCCGATGGCCTCTACAACAGCCCCCAGTGCTGTGCCACTGATGTTCTTGGTGTTGTCGGCTTGAACTGCGCAGTTCGTAAGTCTTTGCCTTCCATTCCTTCCACTCATACACGCAATCATGCTAACGTTGCCATCCAGCCGCCACCACTCCCACCAGCACCACTGGCTTCATCGCCGGCTGCGCTGCCGCTGGCAACCAAGCCAAGTGCTGCACCATCCCCGTTGCCGGCCAGGCTGTTTTGTGCCAGGACGTTAGCCCCGGTGCCGGCGCCCCCGGTGGCGGATCTCCCCCCGCTACCACTCCCTCTCCTGCTCCTGCTCCTCCTGCCGAGAGCCCTGCTGTGCCCTCCGGTTGCCCTCATTACTAGATCAAGAAGTTGGCGGTGAATCAGTGGTGAATCAGTGGAGATTTGATGGTCAAGGCGAGTAAACATGGAGCCAGACTGGAAGACATAGGGGAAAGCACACATATAGCTGTAGTCATCGTCAATACAATCTGCAGTTGTAATACCAGTCTGACATTTCAATTCTCGCATTTTGATTGATTTGATAACATGTGGTACGGCTGCATCGTGACGCAGCTTGTACTATGGTGGTTGATGGTTGTCGTGGAATGCGGGGAAATGAAGATCGCGCTGGGCGGGTGAATCTCCCGGCGCACTGCGACCGTTTCGAAAGGGGAAAGTGGGTCCTTAGCACGGGCCAATGCGTCCAAGGTGATCGCGATTTTGCGCTCTCGTCCGTCCCTCCACCAGCGTTGCTGCTTTCTGTTCAAATTTCCTCGTGCGTCGCGCTCGCGCCATGCCATAGCTGTTTTGAAACAATTCCAAGACAGGACACACAATCGCATGGCGACCTCATTTCAATCTCTTCGACGTGCAGCCTCGTCAGCCTTGCCAAACCTAACAGCCACCACGTGTCAAAACCGTCCGAGCGTCGACGCCGTTCGCAAACACAGTTTTGTTCATTCCAGAATGTCACATGGAAGGATTTCAGCTGGAGCTAGGGCCTACGTAGTGCTCGTTGGTGGCTGCTGACGTGGATGTGTCCGCCTCGTGTTGTCTTCTCGCCCTCAGGATTCGTGCATCACGCTTGATTGGTCGACACATTAGCTGAAGCTCCAGGGCTGAAGCTCACCATGCCCCGCGCTCCATTCCATCGTTTAGCATTCTGCTCGCAGAGACATGAGTGGGAAACCTTCCTAGAACATGGCCTACAAGGTGCTTCTAGTCTCTTTGCTATTCACAGACCCAGCTTTGTACCTTGCGTATCTACACGCAACTCTTTCCAGGAAGGTGCAATGTCAGACCACGCCTTACCTTCAAGACAAGACGATCGCCATTCCCAGCATCGCACGAACGAGGCCGGCAGACTACATCGTTCATCATGAATGCGCGAGTAAGACAGTCGCCAGAGAATCTTTTGGGGGTTCAAAACCAGAAGAGCTGCTGGTGTCGTTCCTCCGACACACCATGGCTATATTTTCGACGCGTCCTCCTGCATGGGGTATCTGGCATATGATCAAAGACGCTAAAGATAGAAAATCCTTCAACGCAGCATATATCCGCTCCCTCCGATTTGCACCTGGAGACCGTGTGTGCGGGGTCTACGTGGTGACTTCTCGAGACGACGAGCGTATTGCCTTGACTCTGGATGCGCCTGCAAGTTACAAAGGACCATCGGTAGAAGGCATGCTGGTAGTTGAAGTCAAAGAACAAAGAGATAAGATCACTTTTGTTAATCATACTGTTATGTGGCGCGAGAAGGGGAAGGGAAGCGCTGGGGTCTTGGAGGGGCAGTTCGGGAGGTGGATGCATGCTTTGATGGTAAGAGGGCTTGTTGAAGGAGGCGTGCATCAACTATGTAAAGATATTGCGGATAAGAAGCGAGTGTGAAGAGTGTGAACCTGCAGGAAATGACGTTCGGTCATGCTACAGTGGGAAGGTACGATGCGACGTTGCCTTGGCACGGCACGACAGCTTTTTATTCGACCACATCTTCCAACTCAAGGCACCAATGTTACCTGGAATACAATCAAAACTAGCCCGATACATCCGTATTGGAAGTGTGTGGCAGGGGCCAAGGACGATTGATAGGCTGCGAGCTGTTTCGCCCCAACACACGTGGGTAAGCTGCATCAACCGCCCCCATTTTCGGTTCCCGATGTGGTCGCACCTACCTGCAGCGACATATGCATAACCTGGAAGCTCTTCCGTGGAGTCTCCTTTATCTTCAAGTTCTGGTCATGCCTAATACCCGTTACCATCAGATCGTCCATCATGTCGGGTAGTCTCGAGGTCGCCGCGGGGATCTTCGCGATCATCGGTGTAGCCGATGTTGTTGTGCGAATGGGAAGAGAGGTCCATGGCTTCTTACGCGACATCGCAGGTGCGCCAGAAGAGATCGACAGACTTTGTACTACCGTAAAAGAGACGGCGCTACTGGCCGAAACCGTGAAACAGCTTCTCGATACCCTGGCTTGTCGGATACAACCCAACGCGACGAATCACATGGTAGCGCTTTTCGAATCTGCACTCAAGAGCTTGCAACGGGAATTACAAAACTTGAGGATACTAAGCGCGAGATTCAGGGGTGGCAGCAAGACTTGGAGTAGGGTGAAGTACGTTCTGGATGAGCGCAAGATCAGCAAGATGTTCAACAATCTGGAACGGTCAAAGAGTCTACTAGCCAACTCTCTGCATGTTGCAAACAGGTACGCATCTCCTCGCATCATTTGAAGACATTGTTTTGACGAGGCTCCCAGACAAAGATCAGACGATCAACACCTGGAGCTACTGCAAAGGCACGACACAAACCAAGCCACGTTGATCCAAGGACAAGAACTTCTAGGACGCATGTCAGTCCATCACTACCAGGAAACAAAACGGGCTTCGAAGATCTTGGCAATCACCCACCAGGAGCAAGTGAGAGAGCATCAAAGGACTCGCGAAGTCTTATCAGAAAAGATCGGCGATGCCATAGCCGCGGAGTTTGAGAGGTATCGCATCCCTCGCACTCAGAGATGGATGAGAAACATCTTCTTCTTTGGTGAACGTCGTGACATGATCATGGCCTATCTACTTCTCGTCAAACCGCATCTAGAGGCAGCATTCCGAAACCTGCTGACCGATGGTATCGAACGATTTCCACCTCACTATGTCGATTGGTTACGATACGAGTTCGACCACCTTGTAGCATCAGCATCGCAAGAAGAAGCGACAAGACACCGCGGATCTTCCGCGGCCTCTTTCGACCGTTGGCACTACTCTGAGGAGACAATGCCACATCATTCTAAGGTATCTGGGCGTGCTATTGAAGAGTCAAACACCAGTTCAGATACGCCGGAAGCAGACTACGCAAACCTCTATCTCAGCGCGCCAGTAATCGCGGGCCAAAGGGCATATACACAAACTACTCCCTTTGGTAGTCTACGTATACAGTCACCTCGACGAGCGGTCAAAGCCAAGTTCAAACGTCCAAATAACGAGGCTAGTTTCACGTTCACTTGTGGTATTGGCCAATCAGTCCACGCCATTCACGCCCACTTCCTTCGTAACGCAGCTAATGCGTCGAATCCGGGGCTCTGCGCTCAACTCAGTGTGTTCACTTTGGCTGAGTCCGAGACGCATTACAACCAGCTTTTTGCATCTGCTGGTGTCGAGGAGATTGACGACGCATTACGGAGAGGCGTCATCTCTCCGTATGAGATCAACCGGGAAGGAAGAAACCTGTGTCTATATGTGAGTTTGTACCTAACGGTCTCTGATACAGCGACGAAAGAAGCTGACTTGCATAACACAGTATGCTGCAGAGAACACACGGGTAGATCTACTCGACTATTTGGCAACCCAAGGTATTGGGGTATCGAACCTGAAGTAAGCAATTCCAATACCCCGCAGCAACCTTTTCCTAACATCCACCAGTCACGACGTCAGCATAGTCGCGGGTCTCTTCGTGCGCTCGATAGTCGACGATGACCGTGCCCCGTTTGAGAAAACCGTCGACTATATCATCCCCCAGGTCTACGAGTCATCCTCATTCCTCTTTGAGACGACAATGAACATGCTGCTCTGGGACTACTATCAAGGAAGACCGCGCTCCCTACTACGACAACAAATACAAAGATTGCAGCAAGAGGGTCTCATTTCCGACTCTGTAGTCATGAACGACGACCCGTGGGACTGGCCCTCAGTATCAAGCATCATGGCTCCACTCTTCGAAGTCGACGCTGCGTACATCAACACGATTGGTAGTCTTGGCCGCAACAGGATACAGCGTTGCTACCGCGTTATTGACCATGGAAGTAGTCCAGGAGATCCGGTCGCTGTCGAAGAGATTGCCAATGCGTTGATAAGAGCGGGTGTTGATGTGCATCACCGCGACCATGACGGTCTGACCCCAAGTATGTACGCCAGACGCTGTGGCGCATGGGATGGATGGTGCAGCGCACTCGCGACGAATGGACTGCGCATTGAAGATGTTGTGAGAGAAGAAGACGCAGAGTGGCTTCTAGATGAGGGTTGGAGGAATGTCATGAAGGAAAAGCATGGGGAGCTGGCAGTCACGGGGTAACGGGTACTGATCATCCCCTCTCAATCCTAAGAAAATGGTATCGCAACGACGACATATAGCAGGCAGGTCCACAGTGTTGTCAGTCGCATGTCTGAAGTGAAGAAAGCTTCTAGCATGGATGCTATACAGCGCATGAGGTGATGCAAAAGCAATCCAAAGACAAGGTACATTTGTGCACATGTTCAAAGCACCACGTGTGCAGCCAAACACGTCACCTCGTTCCCCAGCGCAACCCAATCCGGCCTAACTTATTATCCCGAAAATACACCCCTCCCACAGTTCCCAGCGGATGCGGAGATGGGCTCTAAAGTGGCACCTGCAAACAGAGTGATCGCCACATTATTTTGACTGCACGTCCCCGTTTTCAGTGTCACTAGACGGCACTGCCCCCCATAGAAGCCACTAAAGGCACAATCTGTGCTTGTTATACAGGCAACGCAGCAGTCGTACGGCGAGGCCGCGTTGGCCAAGCTGAGGCCAAAATTATCTGTGTTGTAAGTGCCTGCGCTGATGGTCTGTCCGTTTATTGTGTTCACAATGTTGTTTGGGGAGCAGGCGGCGTAGAACGTCGCGGTGGGGGCTTCGGCGACGATGGTGGCAATTGAGGTAACTGTTATGAAGACTGATATCGTGGAGGTGGAGGTCACTTCCGTAAATAATGTGACAGTGTTGGTGACGACTGCGTCAGGAACGAAGTCAGTGATGGTTGCTGTTGCAGTGCTGGTAATGCTGTTGGTGGAAGTCGGTGTAGGAGCAGTGATGGTCGTCGTCTTCTTCGCAGTGACCGTGCTGGTCTTTGTAGTTATGACGGCGACAATGCCTCCGCAGTTGACGTTGACCGGGTACTGCGTCGGTCCGCCTCTGAACCCGTTCTTCGTCCCTCGTGCTTGTTCGGCAACGGGGTCTTTCTTCTCGATTTGCAATGACTTGCGCTTCTTCATGGAGTTGGGGATCATTGATTGAACTGGAGTGAAGCTGGCAGGTGCTGCAATGGTTGTAGTCGAGGTAGTGGTGCTAATAATTGTGCGGGTGACCGAAGAGGTGATGGTTGTCGTCGTCTCCTCAATCGCAGTGGTTGTACTGACGAGTGTTTCCGTGACAGTATCAGTGATCTGAGGTACAGTCGTCGTCTGGGTAACTGTAACAACGTCCTTTACAGTATCCGTGACTGGTGCTGGAGTAACAGTCGTGGAAGGCGTGCTGGTGATCCATAGTTTCGCCACCAGAGGGATAGTCAGATACCGCGAAGTGGTGGGAACTGGGTTCTTCACGGTGGGCCCGAGTTTTGTTTTGCAAACATTCAACACGGTTTTGGTGCTGAAGGTGCCGGTTCCCAGCGCGAGATCTGAACTCGCGCAGACCAAAAAAACAAGAGTAGTTAGCTTCATGGGGAGGAAAGATGCTTGAAGGTGTGATCTTCAAACAAAAGGAGTTGGTGAAGACCTGGAAAAAGTGCGTCTCTGCATGCGTCTAAATATTGCAGTATACCACACCCCAGTATGACTACCGATGTTCTCGACATCGCTAGCATTACTGTACCTGCAGATTTTCCCATGTCTAGTGATATGCCAGCAAGCCACCGCACAAACTGGGTCATACTTAGCGAGATTCAGTTCAATGTGGCATGCCTCTAGCAGACCTCTATCCAAAACGGGCACTATCTTCAGCCGCAGTCTTGCGAATTAGCTCAGCCATTGTTATATAGAGCAGCAATTACCAGCCAGCCTCGTGTAGCCTTGTCCATCAATTCAGTGTCTAGAGCGTGCGACCCCGCAAAGTAGGAGGCCTGAATCAAGATCCGCCAATCGCCAGCAACGGGTTCTCTCCGAAGGCTTTGCGCTTCTACGCTTAATTGCAGGAACAGTGCCTGGGTGCCCTGTATGCCATGCTTTTGGAGATTCACACAAGGGAATGGCCCTAGAGCGGTAGGCGCGAGAATGGTGGACTGTCAGCTAATCACCATGGTACGGTACAGCGAGGATTTTAAAGTGGTAGGCTTGTTGGTCCATTTGACAAGCCAAGACATGCGTGTGTTGAACGATGCCTAAGCTAGCCATGGGGTTGTTGATGCCAGATGCGATTTCATTCAAATCCGGTCCTAGCGGAGGCCTAGGTCGCTCGATTATCGATCATGGGAGTGCTGCTTTTGAAGGACATTTTGGACGCGCCGTGACAACGAAGAGTTGGGGTACCAACTACATGGGGGGTGCATAGGAGTCTGGAAAGGAAGATCTGGGGAGACGTGGGAGCGCTGTGAACGCGCGTCTGTGCTGGCGCAGGGGAGAAATACATGATGTCATCACTTCTCTTCAATCGCGATCAGTGGTCACATTCGTCTTCCAGGTCTAAACCACCAGCTCTCAGCTTCGATACGTACTCTCATGCGATGACAAAATCCTGCACTCTCTGTTCCAAACCCCGCGACGTTCTGGTGCGCTGCCAGATCGACGAGTCGCAAAAATGGCATTTCGTGTGCCCTGGTGCATGCTGGAAATCGGTGTCTGGTGGCGTTGAAGACGCGAAAGGAATGCAAGATGAATACCCATATTACCGTTATGGGGGCATGGTGAGTTGCTGAAAGATTCTAGGGGAAAGAGAGGCGGCTAATGTGAGGTCGCGTATAGTGGAAGGATAGAAGTGCCGATGGGCCGGTCAGCGCGAAGAAACCGAAGAAAGTCAAGGAGAGGCAGAAAGAAGAGATGAAAGCCAGGGAAGGAGGCGCTGAGGCTCAGAGTGGAACATGAATAATACCATAGGTAGGCAAACATGCTCGTTCTTTGATCGGATGTGGCAACCCGCTAACCATGGCAGCCCTATGACGGGGTATAATGCTAACACTAAATTTACACACTATACCGGAACTTCCTGTTGTGGAAGTCGGTAGTATCCTCAATGGAATCCACATCGCTCGAATTAATGCCTTGAGCGTGTGAGCTCTCCGCTTCTTCGCGATCGCGTTGGGCGTTCCGCCGTAAGAGCAGGGCTCGCAGGCAGAGCGCTAGCACAACTTGAGAGACTGCGCATCCCAAGATCATCTTTACACCGGTCTCGTATTTTGGCGCTTCCTTCGCCAGGAAGGCTTGTGGTCCTGAAGTAGGTGATGTTAGTAACTGCGGTTTTGAGATGGGGTTTGACGGTGTGGTGAGGCTTACCGATGATGTTACCAACACAATAACCCAGAAAGACAAACGCGGTGCTAGTAGTACGCTTGGTGTAGCCGCCTACGTTGGATGCCGGAAATTGAAGCGCAATCACCAAAGAGCCAACGAAGGCGCCAATCTACCTTTGTTAGAAACGTTTCTGCAGAGCGACAAATGGTGAAGACGAACCATGTAATAACCCGCCAAACACCCAGCCAGATTAGTGCGTGGAAGTTGCCAGATCAGACATGCGCCGATGATCGTTGGACAGAGGTAAAGAGCCATAATGTATGTGCGCGCGTTCGGCAGTCGGGAGGCGAGAAAAGGGCCTGTGAAAACCCAAAACACTTGAGCGAAGCCCTGCGGGATGCCATACAGAGTTGTCTTGAGTGGATCACCTCCCGCTGCGTCCTTGACAATGAGCTTGCCGAAGTTCGCAGTGCCACCGTTGATCATTTCGTTGAGCGTGACAAACAGAAAGAGGATCCAGATTTGCGGGTCCATCAAGGCCTCCCAGACCTGAGGCAGCTTGATCTTGCGATTGTACACTCCGGTGCGATTGCTGGCGGCGCGCGCGATCAGGAGAGCCTTCTCTTCGACAGAAAAGCTCTTGGCTGTCATGATGTTGTTCGGCAACCTGAAGAAGAGAACTACAGACCATAAGACGGTCATACCTCCACAGATGATGTATATGATCTTCCAGACGACGAAGCTCTTCGCATATCCGGCGCCGTAGAAGAGGATGCCCCCGACGGCACTACCGAGGCCGTTGAAGCAGTAGAACGTACCCGCCCTTGCGGGTTGTTGTTTTCCTACGTACCACATCCCGACGATCTGCAACAGCAAAGAAAAAACGTCAGTGTGTGTACGGCATGTAACCTGAAGAGCAAGACTCACCATCATAAACGCGGGCGTCACAACACTCTCGAAGACACCCAAGAGGAAGCGCATGACAGCGAAGCCCGCGAAGTTGTGCGTAGCAGCTGTAAGTAGCATAATGGAGCCCCAACAGAAGCAGAAGAGCGACACCACTCGGCCGGTTGGGAAGTGCTGCGCAAGGTATGCTGATGGCCATTCAGCGAGCAAGTAGGCAAAGTAGAAGATCGACGCCAGCCAGGAGTACTGATCACCGGTGATGCCAGTAGTCTCGAAAAGATCGAAGACGGCGGAGTAGCCCATTGCTTGCTTGTCGATGTACTGGAGGAAGTAGGTTCCACATAGTAGTGGTAACAGCAACAGGTCGACTTTCCTGGAAACGCGCTTGTTGGCTATGTCGTCTTCAAGGAGCTCAGCCATGTACTCCGGTGTGATATTATGTTGCCTCAGGAACAGGTTTGCTTCATCGAGGTCTTCAACTTCACCCACAATAGCGCTTTCTTGCTTGTGAAGAGAGTTCGCGTCCATGTTGCTGAGCTGGACCTCCATGTCTTTTGACATGGTCGGTGTTTTGTCGTCGCATTTCGTGGTATTCGGCTCCGTCGACATGGCTGAAAACGAGGGTCGGCAATCGACAAAGTGAGTGATCTATGCGTCGAGGACCAGAGCAGCCATACGAGGATGCTTGCAGTTGAGCTTTAACATAACTTCGGATGAAATACCCGCGTCGAACTACCCCGCGACATCGATCATTCAATGCAAATGAACGGAACCCATGTAGGATTCGATAAGAACGCGTGATAGCGGAAGACAGGCGGCCGATCGCATTGCCCAGAGGACATATCCGGGACTCGTTGCTACCTTGTTATCAGAGTGGGCCAGTATTCGCCTACAAGCTGGTATCAAACCTGGATAAGGATTGAAGAAGTGGATCACCGCCCTGGTAAGTGACCTTGAAAGGATGCAGCAGATTTGTGAACATGCCATCGCCCGACGGCAATACTTCGGCAGTGATAAGGGAGTCGCATGGCAGATGTCAGATACCGGTAGCGCCCCGCGGCATTCGTAAAGTGGTGGTCGCAAGCTGGGGTCGCATCCTAGTGACCACCAGTACCCGTTAGCGGCTCCGCCATACCTGCATCGATTGTGCGAGAGCTCCGAAGACGGCATCAACAATGCTGATACCGAGCACAACATTGAGCGATATGTCGCTGCGACTAGGTAGCTACGTGCTTGAATCATTTGATTGTAACTGATACAGGTAATGGGAAGGCTTCGTTAAAACCGAGTGACGAAACTTCGACTTCCGGTTTCGAGCCTGAGAGGGGGATGCCGAGTGTTTCTGCAGACTGCACGAAAGCCGCGTCTAGTCATTCATCGCAGCCTGGAAACGAAGCTCTCCTAGAACATAGATGTATTTTGGTTGCAGATACGCTTCCCCCAATTTTCGCTGTTTGATGTCCGTGAGGTTTGTGAAGATGGCGCGATAGCAGTGAGGACAGGAGGATTCGGTGGACGGTGCAGCTGCAGCCGAGGTCTTCGCCCAATCGAGCGGCACGATCTTATCGATAACGTGGACACCGCGAACCCCAAAGAAATCACACTTTCTGCTCCATACAATGCGATCAACAGAATGATGAGCACGCTTGAGCCTTCCAGCCAACAACTGTCGGTAGCGTTGAGTTCCCCGGCGGAGAACTCGCGGCTCGGGCTTGGCATCGATGCTGCATATCCGACCCGACTACTTAAGTCAGACGAGCCTAGTGACTGCTTGTGCGCCTCAAGGAAGCGTCCCACTCCTCTTGAAACCTGAGAAGAAGATCTTCACCTTTGGAACATTCACGGAGAGCTGGGGATATTGCAACTAGAAGATGCCTAACATCATCGTAATCGGGTACGCTTCGTTCTATCTCTCGACAGCTGTCAGCTCGGCCATACTA